GACTCACCTTTGCCACACTGCTGGAAATACCGTATGCGAAAACCTATAAAAAAGTGCTTTTGGATTCAAAAAAACTATGTCGGCAAAAAATGCCGCCTGCTCTATGAGGAAATGCCCACTGTGCAGTAGGCTCAGAACAATCTGGAGATGAATTTGGCACACTTTTTTGGGTTTTCTTATCCTTTCTTTTGGGTGATCATGGATATTTGTGGGTGTTCATTGTAAATGTATGCTTACGAAGCGAAACTATAAATTCTTTTTTGAATGTTCGTTAGACGTTGGTATACTTAGCTTGACGAGCTCTATCGATTGGCTAACTCAGATTTTAGTTTCGGGGTGTTCGTGGATGTTTGAGTCTTTTAGTAATATTCCAATGTAATGCTTCAAAACAGAGCGATGCAAAGTACTAAAAGACTGCTAAATCTCTGAACGACGATCTGTTAAGTTGGCTCTAAGTAACCTTGGGGTGTTGTTTATTCGATTTATTCGTCTTCATTTATAACTGCTTCATCAACCGGTATTATCGTTATATCTGGTATAATTGTGCCTAACGGCAGCGGTTTCTTTTTCTTTGTTCGCTTTTTCCTTGTTAACTCTCGAAATAAATCAATCTTGGTATAATCGACAATTCCCACTTTATTATTATCGTCACTATAATTAATTTCTCCATCATTGTCATCAGAATCCGTTTGCTCGCAGGCATCACTCTCTGATGTACCGGAATATCGACGATCAACAGACAAATAATTTGAGTTATGACTTTGCTCATTTTCAAGTGGAATACTAAGATTACTCATCGTATTACTCGAACTAAGAGATTTATAAATAACCGATTGCTTAAGTTCACTTCTTTCATTTGTTGTATTCCATGAACTTGAACGTCGACTATCATTTGGTTTTCGTGTCGAGACTTCTTTACTTCTAGCGCAATGGCTGATTGATTTTCTATGTATAAATTCATCTTTTAATGAGGGACTGGCGTTTGCGATACTAGCTAATTTTTTCTCAGTTTGTTTTTGCTCGTGATTTAGCAATTGAATATTAACATATGATCGTCTACGTTCAAGAGCAACTGTTCGTTCTTGTTCAATGACCGTACGATCTTGTGCAATAATACGTTTTGTTTTTATGTCTAACAATGCATCTTTGTAAGCAACTGACCGTTGTGGTGGATGAAAAAACTGAAGAATGGTAAGTTAAAGAAATATAGTCTTCTGAAGATCTTGCCTTTTATTGAAGCTTCCCCTTGTTAGAAATACAAATTTCTCCATCAGAGGTAGATATTGAGCTAAGCATAATCTTGAACAGTGCAAGGCATCTATTCTTAGAATTCACACAATTTTTGTCGAGATCAACGATTTTTTAGGGGTTTTGAAGGCGTTTTCTGAAAGAACTGATTTTTTTTAAAGTTCTAGTATTTCAACAAATTACTAGAACTAAAAAGGATTTCAGTGGTACCGATCTGTAGAGTACATGTTTCTGGTTCAGATGAGATGTCTCCCGACTCTAAATGATGGCTTAATCAGCAGTTGCGACAGTTTTACTAAGAGCCCCATATTTGTATCATACAATGATGTCACTATATCTCAATAGCAACTTTTTTTATGAATGGACAAAAAACATTTTTGAATTTTTGATTTATAATGCTCCAAGCTAAATTTTGTTGCAAAATATCAAAAATTCACCTCTATTGCACCGTTTCTGTATCTTTCTCTGACATATTAAAACCAACCTGTGCTCTCCATCGACTGATATGAGAGGAAATCGACAGAAGTCCCATTTTGACTACAGTTTTGACAACATATTGTAAATGGTGATAAAGCAAAAAAACTTTTGTCACCATGCTCTGACATGTTCAACAATTGCTAAGTTTTTGTCAAAATTCGACTGACAAAGTATCTGACAGAGAGGGTCTTAAACGGATTTTCCTTGCAGATCGCTGAGAAATGAAACCTGTAGAATATATGACTATCTGACTTTTCACTCACACAAAAGGCTAGTATGAGAATATATTGGTTGGTTATAACGAAAAGTTTTTACCTTAACTGTGTAGTCGAAATCGTGTCTAGGCATAGTATATAGTTATCTTATTGATCCATACGATTTTCTATTTTTAATGTTTTGTGTTTTATATCATAAAATACAGATCTGCAGGATAGGAGTAAATAGATGAATAGAAGGTCCTAAAAAAGAATTATATTCAATGAGAACAATCACTTTTTCTTTCTCATTTTCACTTAACAATAAGTTATTGGAACTAAAAAAGAAAGACGCAATCGACTATTTCCGTTTGCGAAGGAAAATCAAAAGTACTTTCTTTCATGTGAATTTATTAAGGTAACTTAAATATATTTTTTTTTCTTTTCATTTTAACGTTGAACGCTAAATGTGGGTGAGGGTTATTTAAAGGAAAATAATAGAAAACAGTATATGTTAGCTTTCAAATAAATGTAAAAATAATAATCACAATGCCACACAAGTTCATATTCTACATGCATTTTTCTAAATTGGTGTTTAACAATTATTTTTTTTTGTAACGCAGAAACAGTCCGATGTTAAGTGATATGAACGTTCATGTCGAAAAAAGTAGAATAGTATACTAGTCTGAATAATAAATAGACACTCGAGACATTAGAAATCTTAATTAAACAATTCAATTTATAAAACTATGATTTTATTAGTTCACATTTACAATGTGAACAATGTATTGTAGTTGCTCCTCGATCGTTCGCATGAAACAATCTAATGCACATATTAAAAATCAATAAGAACGCAAGTATACTAGATCTTGTAATTAATACATCAAAATATCGGCAGTATATGAACGCGATACCGATATCAAATGAAATCAATTTATCAATTTTATTCAATCTTTTACACGGATTGCAACACTGCACAAAAACGCCTGTAACAACGGGAAGCTTTTCTTTTCATATTTGAAAATGGCAGAAAATCAATTGATCCACATTCGTATGCGCCATCTCGTCCATCTACAATCTCGTTATCACAAAACATTCATGTAATCGATTTCGGTTATGAACATGAAAACCATAGATAACGCACTGACAGTTTTTCTTCAGACGCAGTGGAGTTACACAGGTCCTGCGAAGTGATACCCAGCGGGTCCTGTGCAGTGGTGCGTAGGTCCCTGTCTGATCTTTTTTATGCTGCCGCATCCAGTCTTTTTGTAGAAATTACCATTAATGTATTAATGTATGAATTATTTATGTAACCTTTCTTTTCTCTGGGTTAGTCTAGACGGGTATAGTGGACAAAACAGACTAGTCATGACGGATCGAAGAGATGCTCCAGACTAGTCTAGATAGGTTATACGGACATTTGTTAAAAACTGGACTAGTCATGACGAGCGAAAGGGACGTTCCAGACTAGTCCTGACGGGATATATGGACATTTCGGACTAGTCATGACGGCCGTCTTCAGTAATTTTTTGCTTACCTGGCCGAGAACCGTCGGGTCATGCCTAATTTGAGTCGTTCGTTTATGACTAATAGTAGGCCTTCATTTATTCGTGAAGACTGTGATAATGATGCCTATGCTGTCATTCCTTATAATAGCTTATATTACGTGAGAAGAAAACGTGTTTACATCTGAAGAATTTCACTACATTGTCTGTTTCAGTCGACCTGAGTACTACTAATTTCGCGAAAAACGACGGCCGTCGTTCGGTTAAATAAAAAATGACTTATATACCTGCACAGACTACAAAAAACGTGGGATAAATAAATACATCCGGAACAGAAAACTAAACGTTTCAACCAAGGCATCTTCTCTATGGTTTAGATAGTACCCAGGCCGACGATTCCGAAGACAAGTTCCTGAAAGATCCGACAGGATCCGGCGCCGGAACATGCCGGCATCTGATGAAATCTGGCACAATCCTACCAGAAGCATGCCGTATTATGTCGGAATCCGGACGGTGTTGTTTGCAAAGTTCTTAATGAGACACACCTTCTTATGCAACAAGTAGAGATATCAAATGACTGCTTTAGTTTCAAGGTTAGCGCTCAAATTTTCGTTTTTAATCTTCTTATTTGGAGGCTCCTGAATCTGTTTGAGAGAGATCCTTCCAGTAATGAACGAACAGGACAAGTTGATATGTGATCATTCACCCCGAACAGTATCAACAACGTTGACGTACTCATACGACATTGACAAATATTAATGAGCCATATTCACATCCTGGTGAGGGCGTTATGTGTTGGCCGTCAACTGCTTGAAAGCTGGCCGTATAGAAGATATATATAATATGCGGCTTTTTCTCTATCATCATCAATAGAGCGCAAGATATATATACGCATACCGCATGCAGTACAGATATATATATGTGTTTTAGTTTTAGTACCGATACATACACATCAACATTTTGAATAATAACACATTTATACAGTGTGTAAGTGCATTTTGGACAGTCAAATAGCCCTTTGCTTCCAGTTTAATGGGATGTTCATAGCTCCTTGCTGCCACCCCAGGACTGTCAACAACTAGTTCGCATATTTATTTTAGATTATCCTGATCAGAAAAAGTGTAGAGGTCATAACTATGACACTGTACTGAAAAATGTCTATTAGCAACTCGTATGGGCTGAAAAATTATATCCGACTGACATGAGTGTAAATCATTCGTATTTCTAAGAGAACCCTAATCTCTATGCTGATAAATTTTGGAAAACTAGTAATGTTATGAAAAATTTATAAAGTTTAACTAAGCTTAAAATTATATTAGCAATAATGAAGTGATGTTATAGTATATAAATAGACCAGCAAGATTGGGAGATCAATTGTACCGTAGTGCAGTTAAGGACCGTATCAAGTATGAAAAATCTAATATGAGACAGATATTTACAAACGGAGGATATATAAAAATCTATACTCTATATAAAAAATATATTATTTTCCATCAGTGTTTGATTAAATACACTTAAAAGCAAACGACATTTGATTCTCTAGCAGTGTTTCTAACAGAATTTATCTGCTGATAGGCTCTGTACGCTCTGTTTTTCTAACCAAAGCGTATGCGGACACTTTGTTTTTTCCTCAAAGCGTACAAGTTTCAACTCTAAAAAGAAAGCATCAATTAGGCATCAGGAATGAGAGAAAAATAGAAATTTTCTTTATGCAGGTTTTTTTCTTAGAAAACAATTTTGCAGACCCAGACAATTACAAATACAGAAAAACATCACTGATCTTGTATAACAAAAAAAAAGTCTATTTTCCTATCCGCCTACTCACTTAAAGACAGTTAAAAAAGTTTTTCTTATTTTCTCTTAAATATAAATAGAAAACAAAGCGCAAACAGCGATAGCACAGCGTACATTGTACGCTCTGCTTTTCTCAGTAAAGTGTAAAATAGAACGTATTTTTAAATTCCGAAGCGTATGTCCGCTTTGCTATTAGAAACACTGTTCTTCAGAACTATTTTCAGAATCTATTTCTATGTTTGAGTCAAAACTTTTGTCCGATTTCTCAAAGGTGTGGCTATATTTGTGATTAGCATGAATGCTTTAGCGATAATACTGAAAAAACACTCGGAGTTTTTTCAATTTGTTTAGAATCTAGTAATCCGAAAAAAAGAAAAAAGTATTTAAAATGTTTTCATGAACTGGCATTGAGTATCTCTGCTAAAATTTCCAGCTCGAATCAGACAAATTTTTTGATCGAATCGTGATGGTGTTGAATGCAGTGTGATGCAGGTTTGAATCACAGACATTGTATTTAGAAATGGACTATTTTTACGACATTTACTGAATCAATCTATCTATAGCTCAGTAGAGGACATTCTATAAGATGTCATATCTAACTAATATTTGAAAGTTTGATGAAAAATGCTAGAGATAGGCTCGTAATAAACGAAAAGTATCGCGGGCCTATTTGATTGAACGTTCTTTCTTATAGGCGATCCACCAGTCACTAATTGAACAGTTATTTGATAGTAGTTGTTTGACCGTTAACCCGTCAATATACCATATTTTTACAGATGAAAGAAATTCTTAAATGAGGAACACTAAGAAACTCTCTACGAAAATAATGTCTTAATAAATGTTACCTCTTAAATTTTATACATTTAGTTAGTTTTTGAAATATATATATTTTTTTATAATTTCTAGACAAATGTTGACGACTCCAACAATTTATCGTAAAAATAGTCATTCAGCATCAAATTCAATTTCTTCTTCAACGTCAACACTCAATAAAACATCATCTTCTAAAGTCAAATTTCCATTACCAAATGCTACAAAACCTCGTTATCGTGTCATTCAATCGAAACATATTCACGATTTACCTGATGATATTTTACTTTCAATATTTCGTTATATATCACCCATTGATTTATTAAATATTTCCATTGTTTGTCGTCGATGGCATGCTGTATCACAAGATGAAAGTTTATGGTGTAGATTAGTTCATTCATTTGGTTTACATCAGAAAACATCAACTATTAAAACAAATTCAAGTAAAGAAATTATTTTACGCTATTTACACGATCATATTGATCGTGAATTAAATAAATTATTTGATGTTAAACTTGATCCGTTGAGTTCATATACGGGCATTCCCGATTTAAAACGAACACTAGAAAAATCATTAATGTATTTTATTATTGCATTACTAGATGAAAAAAAAAATTTATTATTCTCCTATCGAAATGATGATGTTAAATATTTTGAAACATGTGCAACTATTCGATGGTATAACAGTTCAGAATGGTTAACTAATCTTTCAATTGTAAAATATATACGATTATATGCTGTGGCAGAAGTCAATATGGATACACGTCCTCATCGTTTACGACGACAAGCACCATCAACAGTAGCTAATAAAGATCAAACATATTTGGCTAAAATAACTCAACAACCCTATAGACACGTGCAAAAGGTACGTTCATTACTTGATGAATATGAATTTAAATGGTCATCAATAATTAAAAATACTAAAACAAATGAGAATAGTCAATCATTGATAAGAGTCAATACATTTGAGTCAGATGTACTAATAGGCATCTATAATCAAGATCAAACATTTTGTTTTCTTGCATGGAATTTTGTTTATTTAAAATTTCATAAACAATTTTTTAATGGTTTAAACAAAACACAATTATCATCTTCAGTAACTTTATCTCAATTTTTTACATCAATTGCATTTGATCAAGCAGAAGTATCAGTTTTTATTTGTTTTCGTAATATGAGAACAATATTTTTTCGACATCGTTTTCGAAATTCAAAATTACATAGTAGTACAAAATCAATTGAAATTATATCAGTACAAATGACACATGATATTGGACCACAAATAGAAATTCTACCAAAATTCAATTGGAAAACAATGTTATTTAATGGAACGTTAGATGATATGTTTATTTTAGATATTGTTATTTTAAATGATTTAAAAAATGTAGCATATGTAGCAACAATACCGGCAAAAATTCAACAAAATTTAAGTCAAGAATTTATATTATCGTCAAATGCATGGACTATAAATGCTCAAACAGAACAAATTAAAATTGAGGGTAATATAATAAAATTATCTGATGAATATGCAGCATTAGGAAATGAAAATGAACATAGTTTACATTTACAAAATTTATGGTGTCATTTTTGAATAATTCCGGTGAATTTGTACAGCATTTTTTCAAATATTTTATACATAATAAAATAGTAATTTAATCATTCTTTGTATACATTGAAAATAAATTGATAATTTTCTTAATTGTTTATAAAGATCTTTATTTTGTCAAAGAAAGAAGAAAAAAATGAAATCAATCACAATATTTGCAGATAATTTCATTCGAAAAACCGGTATACAGAAGAAGAAAAAAAGAGAGAAACAAATCAACAAACAAGAAAATAAAAGAAAAATGACAATAGAGTAATAGAGATATGTACGGATTTACGACAAACACAATAGAAGAATACATTAGTAAGAAGAAAATGGGTTACAGTTTGATTTTTTTTGATATAATAAATTAAAACGAACAGTAATAAATGCTCATTTTATAAAAATAAGATTTTTCTTTTAGCGAAAGTGTAATACTTGGCATAAATTAGACATAAAAGAGAAAAAAAAACAAAACAAAACCGCACACATTTCATTCATATATGTATACATATATATATATATATTTTTTTTTAAACAAGTTTTTCAAATAGAAAACAACATTCTCCAGTATGGTATTATACAGTCAGTGTAGAGATTTTTCGATAAAACACAGATAAATTCTAGCCAAAAATTGACGAAAATAATTATAGAGAAAGCAATAGAAAAGAAAAATGGCTCTTTACACTATATGACTAACCATATTGGCTACACTACATAAACAATAACTATGATCTGTACTAATCTTAATACAATAATAGCTTTGTGAAGCCTGAGAAAGTTATTTTTTGAGTCTTTCGACAACTAAAATATATATATATACTGGTAATATGTCTAATATACACTAGAATATGAATGATACACTACCAAAGTACATCAAAATGCGTACTCGGATGGTAGAAAAAAAATTGTAGAATCACTGACAATTATTTCTAGCTCCGAAAAAGAAATCAACATCGTTAACAAAAATAAGTTTTAATGCATCATCTATCTTCTAAACGTGTGTTGAGAAAGCATTGATATTTCTATACAAAATTCGGGCTATCATTCAGAGTAAACCAAAAATTGAAACGTTTCCACTAATGCATAAAATTTAAATAAAGTGAAATATCTTATGGGAAAGATGTATTGTCTATAGTCCTTAGAAACTTTTAACTTCAATATCAATAAAACAGACTATTTTGGATATAACATCTCCCATAAATTTTTATACTAAAGATATATACTGTAATCAAACTATCTCGTTTTATTATGTGTTTTTGTGTTATTGTTTTGCTTTCATTGTGTTTCTTAAAATTACCAAAAAAAAAAGAAAAAAAGAACAACCAACGAGCAACAAAAACAAATAAAAACAAGTCCACGAAGCGCTTAGAAAACAAACATATAAGAACAAAAAAAAAAAAAAAAAAGAAGCAAATCAGAGAAGAGAACGAATAAAAAAATGAGTTTTTAAACAAACAAATAAAGGAAGAACGACGAGTTTTAGTTTCTTCTGTGTGTGTATGTGTGTGCATGCGTGCGTAAAAATGAAAACAAAAAAACGAAGGAATGATGCTGAGTAAGAGAGAGCAAAAAAAAAAACAATTAAAATCATAATAGATAGTAGCATGACATTGAAAAGTTTAGAAATATGAACTGAAGAAAAGATTCTCATTCGTCCCAATGACAGAACAATGAATCGAGATGAATGTGTATTGTGTATATATATATATATAGAATCATTGGATACTATACAGGTTGTTTCCGAGTATGGAAAGGAAAGCGAACGACGACGAAGAAAAAAAAATATTAGAATTAAACAGGGCTTTGCACTGTAATCAATAATAATAATAATAATAATAATGATAATACGAGAGAATGAAAATTACAGAACGCTGGGAAAGGATAAAGAACGTTGAATTGTTGTTGAAATTCTTGGTTGTGTGAGAAAAATTACATACGTTGTTGTGAACGAAAGACGAAATATACAAAATTGATTTTTTTCCCATAATGTTAAAAACAGTAGATAAAAACAAATAAATATACTAAAATAAGAAGAATAGTATAGTAGATTATAAATTTCTATTAGAAATGTATTTAGAATCTTACCTAATCGACCTTAATGACCATGGAAACCGTTTGCATATGCTCCTATCAGAGATGTAGCTAGGGGTATTCCTGTTGAAGTTGGACTCGTAGGTTGTAGATATGTGGCTCCGTCTGGTGGAAAAAAATCGAGTGTACCATTCGCACCTAAAATGTAAATTGAAAGAAAATATTTAAAAAATTTCTTATTTTTGTTTATTCATCAGTATGAATACATACTCCTTTGAAGTAATGTTTCTCGATGTATTGCATTTGATAATGCCATGGCATCTGCTCTTCCAGGTTGTAATTGTTGAGTTGTTATAGGATATTCAAAATAACGTTGTTCACCAGGTGTTAATGTTGGTGTTTGTAAGGCTCCTGCTGGAATATAACTAATTTGAGAACCAGGAATACCTTTAAAACAAAAAGGAAAAAACGTAAAATCATTAAAAAAATCATATGATTGAATTTTAGTTGTTTGTTTGTTGTTTTTCCGCTGTTTTAACCAAATTTTCTAGAACCTAGCCTACTTTGATGTGGACTATCCCATGCATTTATACAACGTTTACTCAGCAATTTCACTTATTCGATATCATATTTATTATATAATTAAAAAATGGTCAAAAGCAGGAAGAAAAATCGCATATTTTTATCTTTAAAGCACAACTTTTTTCGAAAATGTGCATATGTATGTGTGAGTGAGTGTGTGTGTATGTATGCATCAACCATGCACTTGAAACAAAAAACTCATGCGAAAAAAGCGTTGAGTCTATTTTAAATAGATAAATATATATTAAATAGTATAAAAACTCGAAAGCCAAAATGAATACAAGAAAAAAGTCATTTTTATCAAAAGTTGAGAGGATTTTTGCTGTTTAGTATTACTGTACTCTGTTTTGAAGTCGAAATGATTGAAAAAGAATTCTTAGTACAACGATGCATTTCAAAACAAAGGATAAATACAAATGCAATAAAAGTTAAGCATAGATAGCATCATATAACTCTCATCATTTTTGGCACGGCAATCTTTTTTAAATAGACGCGCGTTTTATCTTACCAACTGCAAAATAGGCTGGTAAACGATTACGAGCTCGAGCAGCGTCACTCTGATATGAATAATGTTGATAAAATGAAGTAGCAGCCTGGCCTAGAAGGACATTTCTCGTAGTTTTATTAATAAACTTTAGACATTTTATTAGGGAAAGAAAATTAAACTATAACATAACCTATATAACGGGCGATCCAAAAAGAATTACAGTGTTATAATATATATTTTTAAATTTATTTATTTTTAAATTTTTTCTAAATATAGATTATTTAGAAAAATTTTCAAATTTTCTCCTCTTCCTTATAATTAAATGAGCAAATTTTTTTACTAAAATATAGCTCGTTGAATTCTCTACAAAATAGGTATTAACTGTTTTATTACAAAATTCGAAGGTGAAAAATCCTATGAAGTACGAAAATTCAGAAAAAATGATGTATTTTCTCATAGAAAGCTACATTTTTTCGAATGGTTTCACAAACATCAAAGCGCGGTTTGAGTATACTTTGTGTAGTTTCAAGTGTGATCTGTCTCATAACATGCAACAAAATTTGTTTTGAGTGAAATTATTCGACATAAAGATCAACTTATCGAAAACCGGGCGAAAACAGCAAATGATGTCGGCTTCATCTACGTGTGATAACAAAGAAAGTTTTTTTCACGATAGCTACTTCAGCTTTCTTTCTTCACAAACGTTACGCGAATAAAACTTAAAAGACAGTTGTTTAACTTATTTTTTCTGAATTTTCGTATATCATAGGACTTCTCATCTCGTTTTCCACCTTCTGATTTTGCAATAAAACTACGTATTTTATAGAGAAATGAACGCGCTATATTTTGGTAAAAAAAAATTGCTCGATTAATTATACAGTGAAGAAAAATTGAAAATATTAACACTGAAATTCTTTTTGGGCTACCCGTTATATGACGTGTCTAAAAAAGTTATAAAAATCCACATGCCTTGTCAAGTGTTACGACTAGCTTTAAGAGATACGGCGTATACACACACACGCACACACACACAAACACACTACGATTCTACCACTATTGATGATGAATAAAACAGTGTTGCATTTCTCCACTATTTTTTCTCAGCTCTACCATTTACTCATTGATGACGGAGAAAACAGGTAAACAACAACATTCAGTTAACTACTAATAACACTACTTTACAGCATATTTTGATATCAAACTGCGATAGAGGATATAGTAATCTATGGATTTAAAGTGCGGATGATTTTTGCGAACACTATGGCAACTAATTTTAATATATATTCACATGGAAAGGAATAATTTCAGTCATTTTATTGAATTTATTATACATAAACAAATACATGATAAAACAGTATCTATATATGCTGGTAGCTGTTGAAGTTCTCTTCTAGACTCTATTTTACCATTAGTAATGATGATGTAACAATTTTCGTGGAAGTCCTAACGCCAGTTTTTAACTGGGATCTAAAATATATACTATTTTATCATGTATTTATTTATATATAATAAATTCAATAAAACGACTGAAATTATTCTTTTCCAGGCGAATATATGCCACAATGTTTGTGTGTGTATAGGTATAAAGTTCGTTTTATGTGAACATGAATGAACTATTGCCACCACAGCATTAATTCATGTTTTAAAAATCTACTAGCAAGCATTCTCTCTACTACTGTGCACCGCATCACACAAATATATGTATTTAATAATTATGAAAACATGATACAACTATTGATATATTTATTTCTAATAGACCACAAAAGAAGAAGCGAATTAAACGCTCAAACTAATTATTGTATTAAAAAAACAACACATTGACAATGGGAAAAAAAACTAAATTATATATGTGATGAGAACCTAATATGTTGTTGTTGGTCTATATATATATATATGTACGTTCTATCTAAATCAATAAATACTAACTAGATGTGCTCTATTTCGAATTTGGTTAAATACATGGCGTTTCTTATACTTTACACAATAGATTTAGTCGGCAAGTTATAAAACAATGTAAATAATCTGCTTGCATGAGATAGAACTCGACAAAAGCTCAAAAAGAAGAGATTTAAGGTTGAATTCTATAAGCTCTCATAGAACTATAGTATGCAAATAAGTTGCACAATTATAATCCTCATTTTTTCGAAATTCATTTTGAAATTTTATCTTCGATTTCATATAATGATGTACGAGATAAGCATAACGAGAGTCATCTCAATTTAAGCCGTTTAATTTGATTGTGTAAGAGATAAAAATCGCTATGTAACCGTTTAAAAAGCCTAACAAGTTCACACGTAAGACTACGTTAACAGTATAGGTCCTACTAGGTGTTTACATGTTAGTTTACTATATCGTTTTTACAATTGTTCATCTTCATTTGCTGTCGCTGAGGTGCAATATGAGTGTGCTCTTTTTTTTCGCTCTTAAGCGTCTAAAACAGACACGAGTAAGATGAAAAAAAAAAATCTTGATATATCATTTGAACGCAACCACTACAATTTTAGTTATATCAGAAAACAATTGTCTTATAAATATTTGACGATAGGGGAAACAAAACTCAAGGTTTTATACATACCAGGTGAAAATGGATAAATTGGTGCGGCATAGGTTGCTGGCATTCTGTTTAAACCATACACATATGCACCTTAAAATAAAAGAAACAAGAATATTAATTTATTGTATAAAAATACTTGTTCTATATAAAGTATCACATACTTAAGAGATCACCGTATGCTCCTCGCTGTAATGCAGCTTTTCCTTTTGCCATTTGTTGTGCATACATGACTTCTTTTGGTTGTGCTTTTTTACATTCAACCTATAATTTGAAAATAAATAGCATAAAAAAAATAATATGAAATTAATTTATACCATTTTATTATTTATTTCATGGAAATGAATGTCACACACTTTGTCAACAACATCTTCATTTTCAAATGTGACAAAGCCAAATCCTAAAATGAATTAATTCAATAGGTTTCACATAGCTGCACAAATACATCTTTAATTTTTCTAATTGATGGATATTTACATCACAAGCAAAACTTACAATGATCGTATCACTCACAGAACGTATTTTTCTAATAGCAGACAGACATGAAATTTTTTTGCTCGTAAGCTCTTTCGAAAAATTGAAGATTCATGAGAAAAATTTTCAACAGATATTTCTTCGATCTAAAACTTATTGTTTTTATACATGGTTCGATGGAATGTGATACGTTGATTCTGAATATATCAATTTTATCGAGAAAAAACGCTTTTTTGGCCGAGAAAAATGAATATTACTTGAAAAACCTATAGTGGGAATCAGAAAGGATGATGCTATTTGGTGCTGCAATCATAGAATTAGTATGATGTTTTCGGTTAACTTCGTCAGTTTGGAGACTACTTTTACTTTTCAGTACATTTAGACCCCAAAAAAAGAAAAAATTTCTCCACTAATTGATAATTGAAGAAGCCTAGATTAAGAACCCATGGCGTTGTTTGGATTGAAGCTTTCTTAGATTCCACAATAGAAATGTTTTACCTCTCACTCATGTATTTTGAGACTAGTTTGTGATTATAAGTTTTTCCACGTTTCTTAGTACATGAAAGAAAAATTTTTATGCTATTAAATTTGGGAAAAGTACATTTTCTCTATTTTTGTCTGATGTCTGTCTGAATGCATACTGTGTCCCTCGATTATAGTATAATATTTTTATGCGTTATTTAATATCTACGTGACTGGGATATTGAAGAGATCAAAGAAATTAGAACACTGTGGTATCTATATATGAATACTTCGTGCATACCTCTATGTCTTTGTGTGGCTTTATCAAACATTAACATTGCATCCTCAACCTGAAAAATCAATTCATATTATTATCATTAAATTAAATATAAACATGTAAAATAATTACTTTTCCATATTGTTCGAAATATTTTTTAACATCATCCACTGTTGTGTTAGCAGATAATCCTCCAACAAATATTTTTTTCGTTCGTGTCACCATCTAAACAAACACAAAAATAAAATAAAAAGATGTTTTACAAATCCAAAACAATCCTAATACATTTCTTTTCTCTTTTAAACCTGTTTAATTACTTCAACCTTCAAAATCAATCATAGATACATTTGATTATACAACCGTACACAATTACAATGAACTCATCCTCTCTATTTTTCTTTACGTTTAACTATTTACTTGGGTCTTAGAAAAGGTTTACGAGTGAAATGTGTGTATGAATGAATGCGTTACGCTTTATTTTTTATACTTTGTTTGTATTTGTGTGTGTGTGAACATGTTCTTATGTGAACAATAAGAAAAAAAGTAAATTATGAGAACGAAGGATGATAATGATGATGATGAGTTGTACTAAAAAGTATTTTAAAATTTAGTAAGAAGAATAGAATCTTCTCTGTTCTAGAAGATTTTAGAATCAAATGGGCGATAGTTTCTTTTTTCAATACTTCTTACTTATAATTCTTAGATCAAATGTTGATTTATCAACCATAAATCCGTTCATTAGCCCATAAAACGAATCATTCACCGCTATTCTTGTAACGAATAGGAAAAGAAGGTAGTTAATGTAAAAGTCACACACACACACACATCTCGTGCAGGAATAATTTCTGGTTTTTCTTTTATTTCTTATCGAAATACAACTAGAATAGTGCTTACTATATCTGTATCGTGTTCATTTTCTGATGAATAACTATCAGTAACTACGGTGGGTGTTAACAATAATCTATTGGAAGAATCAAGAATTACAAACGAAGATGAGGCTGACGAATTCATTGACATTCATACGAAAAGATATTTGATTAAGATAACAAAAGAATATATTTCATGATAATAATCAGCATCATCCGATTGTTAGAGAAAGTAACAATAATTTCTAGTCATACAATCATATTTTACTACTCATTTCTCATTAATCTGTTTCGTGTATGCGAATGAAAACATTGTCTCATAGTCCTAAAAAACCAAGTTTACATGATATAATATTTTTTTTCTTCTCTACCCTTCGGTGAATACGAATGAAGATAAAACTGTTTTGTTATATTGCTAATAAACCTTGTCTTTTTCTATTCTTCTACATATTATACAGATCTTCTCTCGTCTTTCTGTCTATGCATTCGTTTTTCAACTAAAACTTTACATTTTCTTTGGATATTTCTCTTTTTTATCGCAATATTGAAACAGCAGGATAGATGTAAAAGGGATGTAAAAGAAAGCTCAGAACTTGTTTAGCAAAAAAAAAAAAATTTATTCTAATTTATTTTCAGTCTGATGAAAATAAGAACTGAGAAAATATCCCATAAAACGTACAGAATAATAAATAACGGTCTCTGATTTTTATTTAATGTTTATCGTTCAAATCCTAAGGCAGTTTATGTTATTACTATTATTATTAGATTGTTAATTGTCATCTTGTTTTGCAAAATTTTATTGAAAAAAATAAAATTTATTATTTAAATCTGTATAATAGCTTCGGGAAATAATTTCTACAAAAATTATTTTACGTCGTTTGTCAATATGGTGGAAGTGATATACCGTTACTCTCTTGTGACCTTTTGTAATGCAAGTAGATGTCCTTGTATTTTCAATTTTTAAGCGGAATAATTTTATCTTGTTATTTCCTTTTTTTGGAAAAAACGGTTAAAATAATCGCTGTTGTCGACCCAATTTTGCTGTTCAAAATAAAAAAAATTGGGACACTCAATCATTTTTCTAAGAGTTTATGCGTTTAAAAGGGAAGAAGAAGACATATTTATCAATGATGCAAAAAATGGTAACGACGTAAATTTCTTATAAATGGTTCATATATTGTGTGTGTATGTGTGCGTATAGATCTGTCATATTTTACTGTAGAACAACTACGACTAACTGAAACCAAAGAAAAGAAAAAAATAATAATTTTGTTCAACAATGTAATTCATGATGAACACTTGAAAGAATATCTTAGAAGTTGGCTAAACAAAGGACGAAAATATGAGATGATGTATAGACGTCTCATTAACGAAAAAGAAAAACATTCAGAATACATAGATATCTAAACATACTGAACATATGATCCTTAACAGATAAGCAAATTTTTCATGTGAGTAGCCAAATTATGATAAATCCCCGTGGTGAAGACTCCAGTGGGGAACATTTAGTCCAATAAATAAAAATTAGAATATTTCGGAAGTTTGTTGAAGTTCGACATGCGAGGGATATTGACCTATTGTCTTTTGCAATTAAAACTTCGAAAAAATTCATACTAAAACATAGTCTAAACAGCGTGATAAGAACCGTTAAAATTACATTTTAAAAATATTTTTCCATATGATAAAAAACAACAATAGCTTGTAGCATGACTCTAGAGACTTTTCAGTTACTTCCTCTAGGAAAACTTTGTTTGATTTGAAAATGTTTAAAAAATAATTTTCTACATTAACTGATTTTACACTCAGTGAAGAAAGTTACTCCGTCTCGAATCTGTCTCAAAATTAAGGCATACTGTTCGTCTAAATCTGCTATATCCATGGTACATGCACAAAATGCGACTTACTACCTGAACCCCATTAACGGTTGTACAAAACAGCGTGATGTTTCATAAAAACTAGTTGTCTCTTTTTAACTTGAAAGGAAAAAAAAGATATTAACGATGCCATTTTTTGAAAAGCAGTTTTAGCACGGTGCATTAGATTTCATTAGAATGCGTTAGATTAAATCTCATTAAATCCTTTTCAGTACTTCTGTCGAACAACATGATATTTTTGACCGTCTAACTGAGAAGTATTTCTGTCTACATTAACATGACACAAAATTAAAGTAAAATAATGGATAAATTTAGAAACAAATTTTATATTATTTGGTTGTAAAAGTCAACAAAACTCTGATCATTGAACATATTTATTACAAAACACGTTCAATATATCGTATTTAACGTTATTTTTACAACGTTACAGTTAGAAATTGAGCTAATTAAACTTATACAATACACATTTTTCAACATTATTGAATAATTTTACATCGCTACAAAGAACAATTCGTAGTTCAATAGATGTTTAAACATTAAAAGTCTAAAAACTACCATTTTACTTGACTAAAAATTGACGCCCATATTTCCTTGAATTGATCTGATATGATTAAAAAGAAAAAAAAACAAGAAAAAAAGAAACGAAGAAAAAGAATAACAAACCAAAAATACCTCTTCCTCTATAAACGAGAAATTCCTCTTTTTATTTAGGACTATGTTCATGCATACAAACACGATTTGCATATAGTAAACAATTGAGATGAAACTAAAATTTTATTGCAAATCATCACTATCTAATAAGAACAAGAAGAAAAAAAATATATCTCAATCTGAATCAATTGAACTCTATCAATGAAACAATTGATAAGATGCATACGAAGACGACAACGATTTTTTTTATATTTTCTCAAAAATTTGATTAAATGGTTATACTATTACAATTGCCATTGGCATAAATTTTTGTTCTTTTCACGTAAACTGTTTCCTCTAACACAAATTATCTCTTATTATAACTAAATTTTAAAACTTCTTTGAACAAAAACATATATACAAAATAAAATCAATATGACTATTTTCTATGTTGTGTTAGAACAAACTACAACAAAAGGATTAAACATAAATCTTTTGTTTTTCTTCAAGAAAGTCAGAAAATAGAAATCTATAAAGAGAATGAATGAGTGAGACGCAAATAAATAATGACCAAGAAGATATTGGTTAATCAAATGATGATGACTATTTACTGTATGTATTGTTGACTGAGATCATTGAACATATACAACACATGTTTTATTTTATACTAGCTATGATTAATATAAACCGACATGTACAAAAAATATTTGAGATAGATAAGAAGATAATTATATGTAAGATCATATAAGGTGCTTTTCTATTCTTTCTTTACGTTTAAGTAGACCTCAACAAGTATAGTTAAATAACGAGCTCAACATCTGAATTTATTCAACAACTCTAATCTAGCTGTGTCAATCTTCATATAATAAGAAACGAGTCAAAAGAAATAGACGAATATCAATTAATACAGGGAAATAATAAAGTTTTTTTTTGGGATATTTCAAGAGACGCACTGAGAAACTTAATAATTCAAATAGAATCAATAGTGAATAAATTTGGACATGATTATGCAGAAGAAAAATAGCAAAACAAAAATGTAGTTCTCAATCTTGTGAGCAAGAAATACGACGCCATTGAAAGTAATAAAGTCGATCAATGAGTATAGAATTCATTGACTAGAATATACAAACTTTACCATACAGAATTCGATGCTTGTTATTCAAAGGAAAACACAATTTTCATATTTTGTAAACATTTTCTCGCTGAGTCTCTTGGATTTTTAAAAACTCAATTCATGGCAAAATAGTATTCGATATATCAAGATTAAGTAATTGGTGACGTCTTAATATTCAACTTACATCATCATTTGTTGTTGCTCGAATATTATTATAGGAATTTGTAGTTAATGTTGTGCCAGGTGGACTAGTTTGAACTGAAATATCATTTGGATCTAATATAATATAGGACATTGCCATAAGATTTTCTTATATAAAGATATAGAGATCTTTTTCTAATTATTATACTATAGTGAATTGTTAAATGAAATAATCGTATAATCGATACTGTTTATTTACAATAAGTTTTTGATAATACATTAACGAAAATATGTGACAAACAATTTTATACTATGCTCAAATGAACTATGGAAGAGTTGTTCTTATGTGTATGTGTGTGTGTGTATATAGATCCGGTAACAATACCGTATATATTTGTGAATATACACACAATAACTAGGCTTTCTTTTTTCTTTCGTTCTCTCTCTCCCTCTCTCTCTCTCTCTTTCTCTCTCCCTCTCTTTTCTATTTGTACATTAATTCTTTCTTTTTTTTTTTTAAAACTTTTGTTGTTCTGGATGTATATAGGATATAGAAAGAAATTTAAAACGAAAAAATTAACAACAAGATACAATTCCGACGCATTAGATCGGTCGTCATTATATTCGTTGTCGTCCACTCTCAAAAACCATTAATTTCAAAGTTTTTCACAAAACAACTGTATACGCAAGGAAAGAACAAAAAAATACAGAGAGAGAGAGAGAGAGAGAGAGATTTATCATATGGACAATAAAAATAAAAATGAAGAAATAAACAGAACGGCCATAGAGCTAGCTAGTCTAGTCTAGTCTCTTTCGTCGATGATGAACACATCATCATCACTCTTTTTTCTCTCAACAACAACGACGAGAAGAAGAAAAAAAATGGAAAAATCTCTAGTAGTATAGAGAAGAATTAATGATTATGTGATGATGAATAGGGTTTCCCTCTGGGTCAAAAGAAGAAAAAAAAAAAAAGAAGAAATCAAGAAATAGAATAGAGGAGAACGTGTAATACTCAAGCACTGGAATAGTTATATATAAAACTATTCAATTCAAATACGTTTCAAGTTTTTATACTAGACATAAGAAAAAATGACCAAAAAAAGTAGAAAATGCGTCTATAGCGCTCAATCAAACAAAAGTTTTATTCATACAATTTAAAAAAAGTAGACAGGATATCGAACGAATGATCAAGCAAATAGCGATGAATACAGTAAAAAAAATTCTTGTTAATCAGAGCATAACTATTTTTAATGATAAAATTTTCCAGTAACACAATTTTATTATTCACGTTTTATTTTTTCTTATAATAAAACAACTCATACACATCGTATATAAAAACGTGTCTGATAACCTCTGTATAGAATGGTTCGTGTTATGAATCAAACGTACAACATATAAAAAATTTTTTTTTTCAGAGTGATAGAATAAAACCTTATATCCCCCCCTAAAAAGTTCTCAAATAGATTCTTTCTTGAAGCAAGAAAGAAAAAGAAGACTTCGCTTTTCGTTTTTCTTTTTTTAGCATGTACGCATATACCGTTATTTATATCTCTCTATACTCACATTATCACATAACCTTTGAACATGAGTTTTTTGTTTGCATAATTGAAAAAATACACACGTATATACGCTTTTCATGTAGAGAGAAAGAGAGAGAGAAAGTAAACATATCTGGTATAAAATAACACCTGTGTATTTGGTAGACTCAGAAAGTGAGAATACGAGGCCGTTTTCAAGTTGATACAGTTTCTTAAATCTTCGAAATCAAAGTTTGATGTATTAAAATACATGATCCAACTAAAAATGGAAAATATGACTGGTAAATAGTGGTCTTATTAGAAACATTGCCTATGATGATACTTTTTACATTGTGACTAAATGTCTGAAAAAATAACTATGTCATAAAATAAAAAATGCTTTAAAAGCTAAAAACTTTCATAAAACGATAAAGTGTTATGGAATTTTAAACTTTAGAATATTGATCCAACTCTTATATATATATATATATATATTTAGCAGATAAATTTAAAAAGATCGTTTTTTAAATTAAAAAAAAACGCAATCTTAAAGAGGCAACGAATAATTACATTGTTCTATTATAATCTACGAATTAAAAAAATAGCGTTTGTTGAATATTTATTTTGCTTGTAGTTATAGATAATGTTCTCATTAATATATCGACAATGAATCTAATACGTGTGTTTTTACGATAATATCAAATTATTTTTTTGCTTGCTCTCGTTTCCTTCAATGTGTGTGTGTGTGTGTTGTATTTTCAACACGGTATTTTATAAACAGTTACTCATTTATTCTATTCCTAGGTTTTTCTAGAATTAAACCATGAACATGAAAGGGAAAAAAGACAGAGAGAGAGAGAGAGAATGATAAAATATTCTATTGCAATACATACACAAAACACACACATATTTAGTTTCGTACCAAACCAATGTTCTTATTCACCTGTACTTACCATCCATTATTTAGTTTAACTACGACGTTTTTCTAACAAGAGATCTCATTTTCTTTTTTCTAACGTGATAATTCACAGAATATTAAACCTCAAACAATTTATAATCGATACTCTTATTGTTTGATGTCAAGTTAATTAACAATTTTAACTATTCATTCCAAATAGAGCTTCAGAAAATAACTTTTTTCTAACAAAAATCATTCATCCTATACGGTATAGAACTAGTTAATAAATAAAAATTAAATTTTGTCTTAGAAATAAATAGAATAACGTTAATATCAGAGTCTATTAGTACCACATAACACGTTCAAAGTTTAAATAGAATAATTCCTTATTTAATCTTTTTTTGTTTTTTTTTCGTAACGCAAAATTCTTTCACCAAATATTATTATTTATTGTGATAGAATAAAAAAGAATTCAAAGATTATTTGACCAAAAAACCAACATACGTTTGTTATTCTCAATGCGCCATCTTATATGAAGATGTTATAGTTACAAGTGTGTGTGCGTGTGTAAGTTTAGACTATTCATTCATGATCTCTATTTGACAAAATTTTTAGTTATAATAAAAAAACGAGAGAAAAAAATGACAAAAATACAATGATGTCATTTTGCTGATTCATATCCACCATCTTCCCTCCCCACACGCACATAATAATCAGTTCGATTCAATTAAATCACTCTTCCAATTTCTTTTTTTTCTTCTTTTTTTTTTTTTGTCTTCAACAACATGAAATACACATACCGCGCGCTTTTTTTTTTTTTCTTTACCAAAAGGAATTAGGATAATCATATTTGACAGATTTTCTACTTTATTTCTTATTCTGCTAGAGGAATTTTTGTATTGACACATGTTCGCAAACCATTTCTACAATTCATCGAAGGTGTTTTTCCTCCGAGGCTGATATAATGTTCAATCTGGTTTGATAATAAGTCCTTAGAAATCAATCTATCATTAAAATCATAAAATTATAAATAAATTCGACAATATTTTTTTTTTTTTTTATCGAATGAATTAATGAATTAATATTGTGTAAAAACGTATTTTTTTTTACTGGAATTAATTATATTTAATAATCCTTACCGTTCGATGAATTACAGCTATACAAGTTTGGCGTTGAATCATAGAGTATGTCAATCTACGAATTTTGAGTTCGACAGTAAATACTAATAAGTCTATCATTCTATTTAGTTTAAGTTTTTTTCTTACACGGACACACAAAAATAACAAATGATAAACGGTCTGTCAAAAAAACAACAACAACCGGAACAAAGCCTATATCTTAACCTTGAACTTTGTATTTTCTTATTCTTTCAATAATTTTGAAATATGATTATGAAAAATCACCCGTCTAATCTATTGTGTACGTGTACAACATAAAAATAACAAAATTCGTACTTATACAGAAAATCTTCAACATATTTAGAAAATTAGATATCGTCAAAATGATTTTCAAGATAAACTAGTTAACGGTAATACAATTGTTTTAATCATTCAAAAGGTTTGTAGTGAAAAAAATCATAATAAATTAAGTTTTGATGAATAATTTAAGTTTAATGATAGAATTTAACAAAGAAAAAATACTAATACTGAACATAGTAAACCATAAACTGCTTCTGTCTTTTTATATTTTTTCAAGAATAATAAAATAATACTAATTTGGCTCATACTTCTCTCCTTTCTCAGTCGTTGTAAGATTAGATGGTATTATTCTAGAAAACACCTTTCTATGGAATCAAAGAAGTATTTTATTTTCTAAGTAGATAATTGATTTAATATCTTATAGAATCATATATTAGAATATGGACAATCGGCTAAATTCTTTAGTGTCTTCTATATTGTTGAGCATACTATATAAAAAATATACTTTTAAAACGTATCTGAAAGCGAACTAAAAAATATTTCTTCCACTTATAAAATATCAGTAAGAATTTGAGAACAATTAGATACAATTAGGTAATCTGTCTAAGAAGTGATCATTGATAAAAAATATTTAAAAAAAAACGAAAAAAAAATTGGAAAAATGACCTGAAACGAAATTTGATTTTAACATACAAGTTTGATTGAACAATCAAAAAAAATCAATTATCAAAGAAGAGAGAAAGAACAATAATAAAGAGAAGAGAATTAAGTTTCCATTTACTTTGTTAAATTGTTTTACCTTTGCTTTACTGAGAATATCCTGAGTGGTATTATCGAGTAATACTAATGTACTCATGATTGAATATATTTTTCTCTTTTATCGTATACGTATAGTATATTTGTTTTATTTCAATTAATTCAATAGTACAATATAGTATGCATATGATGTAAGAATTTTTTCTTGTTATAGATATTCAATAATGTATTCGTGATATTTTTCAAGAAGAAGAAGAAAAAGAGAAAAAAAGAAAAAGAGGTTAAAATTGAGATCTTAAACTCTTAATAACAATATCAGTTTTTCGACTTAAAACAGACAGAAAGAATGAACGTATATTTTTTGTTCACACATGTATAAAAAAAAATCAAAAAAAATCAAAAAATCTAAAGAATAAGAACAAAAAACAACGTCACTTGAGAATATTACTATGTAACTAAAGTATTTTCTCTTCTTCTTTTTATATCATTAGCTATAATAGAGAGTATTGCTTCTTCTTCGTTTTTTTATATATTCACTATGAATATATATGTGAGCACTTTGTCTCAT